ATGATATTAGTAGCACTGAAATTTTTAACTGGTGTATTGCAGATATTAGGGCTAGAGACTCACCTGGAATATCTTACGACAAGTGAAATCAGAACTAAGTGGAAGTCAGCAAGTTGGTTAGGCAGCGCTAATAAGATTTGATTTGTTGAAACAGGAATGGTGATTGTCTTGTACTGACATTTTAGTATGACTTTTCCCTAGCTTATTACAGAATCTCTATGTTAAAAAGATAAAATCTTTAAAAACTAGTATGTGGCTTATGAATGCTCATAGGCTTATAAATGTGAACTGAAAACTAATCTGCTTTTCAGATTTAGGAAGTCACTTTTTTGAAACAACAGCCTGTAAGCTAAAATACTACGTTACCTAAAGTAAAGCATATGTTCCAGTTACAAGCATCATCAAAGCTTTCTTTGGAAAACCATTGTAGTTTAACTCACTGGAGTTGTTAGTACTAAGCAGCGCTAAATGAAGGGGGGAGGGGGCAAGCCAAGGAGCAAATATCACAAGGCTGTTATCTTTATTACAATTCCGCATGAAACTACTTACTGGCTATGCCAGCACCAGTTTCTAGCCCCTGTCCAAATTTTTAACCAAACACAATTATAGTTCAATAAAACAAGTTCCAGAACTGCCTGCTTTTCTTGAAAAGGAACTGCTGCACTCATACCCAGTAGCTGATACAATTGTTTTCAAAATCTCCCAGAAAGGTGATCCGCTGACCCATATTAATAAAATAATAAACATAACCTCTTGCACTGAGGAAATTCTGAAGATCCACACACAGGTCCATATTCCTACCCCTCTCCAAACAAAGTCAGCTCGATGTGCAGTAAAGGAGTGTTAAGAAGGGACTACCTTGAGCCCCTGAGGAAGCAAGCAGTTTGTCATGCAAAGCTTATTACACTGCAGAAGCTAGATTAGAAGCAAGCAGTACTGTTTTCCTGGAGTGCAGAAAGCTGATGGCTAGCAGATCTGTGTAAGAAGGGACTCACAGATACATCCCTACTCCTAACTTCTGCAAGTCAGTGAGCATGTGAAGATGCTCTATACACCAGAGACTGCACACCCAAAGAGATTTGTGACTCCTCCTTCCTTACCTCTCCTTCTCTCACAGTAGAATCACATAAGATACCTTTGGCATGCCGGTGTTCTTCCAGCTCACAAAAAACAAGAGTTTAACTGTCCCCAGAGTCTTTCAACATTTCCCCAGCCTCCAAGGGAGTAACACCAGGCTTCTCAAGGGACTAAGCAAACTGTTTTTATGGCATTCATAACTAAAAAAATAAGTTCATTCTTTGCATAGGGACTGCTAGGAATTGAAGGCTCTTTCTAGTTATTAATTCTGATAATTCCCTTATGTCAAGATACTTTACTCATTTTATTTCCTTGTCAATAAACTTGTAAAGATTATACATTCTCAAAAGTTAAATGAATTTGTTTACCTCTTTGATTCTGCTGTCTGGATAATGTTTGAGAGGCCACTTTAGTCCACATGCAGCCAGTGACATCCTCAGCAGATCTTGTTTCCCATGTTTGTAGGAAGCTAAAATTGACCAATGCAGTAAAAGTAAAAAAGATATAGAACTTAGGAAAATAAAGTGAAATAAAGTGTGAAATTCTAAAAATTACTCTAAAGATGTAAGAAATATGCCTGTGTGTGATCAGATGTTCAAGTAGGCACCCAGGCCATCACTCCAAATGACCTTCTGCCTTTGACAGCATCCCAAACTTTCCTAATTACAGACTCCCTCCTTGCAATTACTACAGACTCCCTGCTGACCTTGTAACCTCCCTTTGCCATTTGCATCCCTGAACCCAGGGCATGCTCTGAAATGTAACACAACAAAAGTGCATACAGGGTGTCAGGAGCCATTAAGCAATGCTCCACGGGTACTCTAGGGTGTACATGCTCTTGGCACCCTCAGAAAAAGCCTTAACTGAGGGTGAAAGAGGAAAGCAGAGCTTGACGGGGAGAACATGCTCAACCTGAAAATGCAAGCAAAAAGAAAAGAAGGAAGTTGGGAAGCCGCAGTGAAGTTCTGAATGCAGGCAGAGAAGAGGTTGGGGGAAGATGCCTACAGGATAAAGTGAATGTAAGTACCTGGTTTAACTTCAGATCACTCTCAGGCAGATCTTCAGAGCAATTTTTAAAATTCCATCATTAATTTTCCTGTATCTCTTTTTCTAAGACCAAGTCCTTTTTTCCTCCCTAACTTTTACAGCATTGGTCTGCAGCAATTCCCTCACACACACAAAATTGGAGGATACAATTATACCCAATAATTCAAAGCAATCTACTTTAATTTCCACACACCAAACTCAAGTTCTGCATGGGAGAAAACAGATTCTACAAAAAGAAGGGATTTTACTTAAAAAAAAAAAAACAAAGGGCTGCCAAGTCACTACAGTCTTGTTTGTACTTTCTTCACTCACAGTAAATCTTACCTCAGCACTAGTGCCTTAAATATTTGCATTTATTCACGAAGCATGGTACAATTCAGTAAAAGAGCAGTAAATGACTAGCGTATTTTTGCAAGTACGTAAGAACGGTTGTTGAATGCACAAAGCAATCAAACTTTAAAAACCTTGAGAAAAAAATCTTTCCACATTTTCAGTCGTAACAATAGTCTATTAAGCATGAGGATAATCTCTCCTGGGAGTACAGAACGTGTCCAGTGAGGACAAGATCTCCCAGGAAAATTCCACCTGGCCTTTGTCTCCCCACCTTCATGTCATTCTTCACCCTCCTCCAAAAAGTTCTCTCCCCTGACAGACACATGAAGAGGGTAAATGTTTACTTTTGAGTCCATAGCACTGGGAAAAGGTAGCAAATAAAGGCTCTGAGTGAGGCTGGAGGATGTTCTGTGCAGATATCAGCAACTAGCTGGCCATGACTGCCCCCACCTCTCCACACAATTCCTTCCAGGGCAGCTGGAGGCACATCCCACAACAAGCGCACCAGCACCCATGCAAGGCTTTGCTTCTTCTTTGCAATACCTCACCAGATTCATCAGCTAAAGGAAGATCTACCCTCCCCAGGACTATGTCTGCTTGGCAAAAGGTTTAAGGAGCAGTGAGAGGAGGCCCTGAAAGCACTGGGACAGCAAAGGCTTTGGAGGTGGCTACGCACTCAGAATGTCAGGTGGGCAACAAGGGAGGATATGAAGTCCTGCTGGAGAGAGCCAAAGTTTACAAGGCTCATCTGGAAGAGGCAAAGGCTTGATTTACTGCAGTTCAAGGATTTCTGAGTAGAAGAATATATTATACAAACTGTAATGTACAAGCAAAGTTGGGAGATAGAATAGGAGAAGTGGGACATTCAAATTGTTACAGAGAAGAAGAGGGTCTGCGCTGAAGAATTAGAGAACTGCTAAATAATAGGTGGTTTGTAAAATTTAAGTGGGGTAGGTACACATTTTTCAGATACATGGTTTTCAGTTCATGTGGTCCCTTCAAGTAATGCAATGTGATGGTTTGTGGAGAGAGAGTTAAAGCAGGCAATGAAAGTCATGAAAAAGAGGTTTTAAAACTCACATTTATTCTATGTAGAGTATTATACTGTCCTCCTTGTGATTCTTCCTTTCTTCTACTCCCTCTGTGAGTTGTGTGTGTAACATACTGAGGGTGTTCATATTGTTTTAGGTTTGAATCGAGTTTTGTTTAACGCACACCAGAACCAATGAGGGCTGTTTCTAAAGTAAGATATACAGGCCAAAACTTTGATGAATATATAACTAATGTTTTGGAATGTTTGCTTCTTCAGAAATTTCAAAGGGCTAACCCAAGTCTACAGGCCTCAACCTCAGGACAAGGCGGCATATAACCAGATACCCAATAAGCACTAGACAATGGACATGTGTCTCTCAAGTACAAATTATTTCTGATTCTCCTTTCCACTATGTGTAACACCTTCCTTTAATAGGCATCATAATCTCTCCTGCATGCATGCAGCCAGCTCCGTTCTATTTTCTATATGTTAGCGAGAAGAGACTAGAATATGAAGCCACAGAAGTTTGTTCAGCTCCCACAAATAAAAGTCTCACAGCTGTACTTTTCAGACTGGCCAAAAAAAAGCCACAAACTCAACTAAAGTACACAGTAATAATTACAACATCAGAAGTGCAGCCATTTTACAGCACTGAAACTGAATGGCTGGACTAACAACAATTGTAGCTTTTACTCATATTTCTCCTTAGCATTTGAATAGAACAGGGATATGGTAAAGCACTAGATACCAAGTTTTGTTGTTTCTAAACACAAAACTATAAAATCTTTCAACACAGTACAACTGTTTTAATAGACAGCTCTGAGATGCTGTTTCTTCATCATCATTTTGAAAAACATAAGGAATTAATAAATATTATGAATGGACAAGTAAAGAATGCATACCCAGAGAGTTTTGATTTGTTTGCTCAATTCAATTCTTAAGTAAAGTAGCATTTTATAGTCCAACTCCCACTGAAGTCAGTAGGAAACTTCCCATTCACTTTAACAGAAACATGATTAGAGCACTGCTGCACACCTCTTACAATGCGACACATCTCTATAGCGTTGCTGAAAGCAGAAAGAGAAAAGTATCAGCGCTAGTTCTTCTCTCATCATCTCAAGCACCATTATTCCTCACTCATAACCATACAATATCTATATGGCTACAAACACATAATTGATGCTGACTGATAGCATCATTTAATCAAAACAATAGCTTACTGTGTTTCTGAGGCATGTTTTTTTCCCTCTGTTATAACGCTCTGGGTGTCAGGAGTTACATCAACCAATTCTGTTACAGGCCAGCAACAGATCCTTTGAAAGTAGCATTTGTACATCCCGCCAAAAAAGAATCATCGTGACTGCTAATGCCAAGACATTTCATGACCAACTCCTTGGAATGATGCCTGAGAATTTCCAGCTCAGCTCTGCGGCAAAGGCATCCCATTATATTTCTTTCAGGAAGGAGAAGAATATGAATGGAGACAGGAGGGAGTAACCAACATGCTTACCAAGCCACCACAGATGCTGAAGACAGCCATGTGTGTCTCCTGTGCATTGACATGCCCACGGTAGAAACAGTGGCGTAAATCAGGGGAGAACTGCTTTTTTGGGGACCCTACATGTGTCACAGTGTACTGAGCAGCAATGAAGCCTGCATCAGCAGTCAGGTTGAGCTGGAAGACCTGCCCATATGCACTGAGCTGGTAGTGTGTTCGGAAAGCAGTGGGCTCCAGGGGTGCCTCCAAGCTCCTTTTCCTCCTGCT